CACCCTCCCGGTATCACCACTCTCGCCACTGGTCCTGAGGGGTTTCTCTGTCCTGGATTCCCTGTGCTTCCAGTTCCTATCTGAAAAGCAAGGAGGTTGCTTTGAAGAATAAGGTGCACCAGACTCAAGCCATCTTTTCAGTCCCCTCATATGCATGTGAAAGTTGGACATGGAATCAGGAAGACTGAAGAAGAATAAATGTGTTTGAATGAAGATGTTGGAGGAGAATATTGGAAGTACCATGGGCTGTCAAATAGATAAACAAATCTGTCTTGGAAGAATTGTGGCAAGAGTGTTCCTTCGAGACAAAGTTGGTGATATTTCATCGCATATGCTTGGGACATGTTCAAGGGCAGTGAAGATGGATTGATACAGCGGCAACAGCAATGGGCTCAGAGGTACGAACAATTGGGGGGATTGCACAGGGCTGGGCAGTGTTCCATTCTGCAGTACATAGATTTACTGAGTTGGAATTAACTGGATGGCATCTAGCAACAACAGGTTTTATATTTAGGTGTTTAATTCACCTTGAGTTTGTTTTTGTAGATGATGTGAGATCTTAGTCCTGTTTCATTATTCTGCAAATGGATATCCAGTTTTGCCAGCACTGTTTGTTAGAGAGACTATCGCGTCTCCATTTAAAATGCTGTGACCCTTTGTCAAAGATCAACTGAGGATAAGGACTTTTAAAAAACAACGTCTCCTGGGAATCTTTTCATGTCAGAGACCCAGGGCCAGTTTCGTCTTTCTAATGCTGATGAATACTCCGATGTCTGGTTTGTCTCCAATTATGTAATCCCTTGTCTATCAACGTACTTCCTAGCTTTTTGTTTTCCTTTCATCAGAAGTATCATTGAGCTTTCATTTTGCGCTCTATGCCCATTTTGTGCTATGCACTATGTGCAAAAAAAGAAGAATGTTAATTAGATTTTTGGCCATTTGCTGGTGTTATCTTGTGACTTGTGACAGATGATTCTTTTTCTCTCTCTAAGCCTCAGTTTCTTCATCAAAAATAAATTTTGAATTATCTTGAGAGATCTTTTGAAAAGGAAAAATGGAGGCTCTGTGGCTGAATAGTTTGGGAGACTATAATAGTTGGGTTTGGGTCAGCTGGACTGGGATGTGGCGGTTGG